CGAAAATAAAAAAAATTGGTAATTTTGAAAAAAAAAAGAACTCAGGTTTTTCGACCCGCATCTTTCCTTAAGGTCGTTTCAAGGCTCCTGATTGGTTGTGGTCGCTATGTTGCCCCAGCCCACCTCGCCATTGGCCCAATGCTCACTCCGGGAAAAGGTCGTCTGCTGCTTGTGTGTAACGAGGCACGGCTGTCGAAAATTGCTGATTTGTGGCGTGTTCACTCCTCGACGATAACTAACGATATAATTATGCTTTAGTTAAGATTTGTGAGCGGATACTTGATCAGATTACTACCAGCGCGGCGCCTCATCAGAGTCGTTTTTAGGCCTAATTTCGCTGACGGCGAGACGAACTTTGCGGGCGAGAACGACGCGCTAGCGCACTCGTGAGAACGTGTTACTTCGCAGGTAACGAAGCACATTACTCCCTAGCTCCTCGTAACTGCGGACAGGCATTTCATGCATTATCAGCAGCCTGTTAAAAGCCATGCAAGTGTTACACGATGTAATATTGATTGAGATTCTGATCGTCATTGCAAAATGCAGAAATGAGTCGTTCCTGGATGAGAAACACGAATCAAATTGAAAGAGCCTCTATGGCACTACTCAATCCTCATACAGCTGCATGATGAATAGTTGTACATAAACAAGTGTTCGACGCCTAGGTATATAGTGCGGGCGGTTTGCACCCCGCAAGCTTTCCTGCCTACGCGTGCCTCATTTTCCGGCGTGAAATGACACCGTTGTAAGCAATGAACAAACTAGTATCAATTCCTTTCAGAGATAAAAAATAGATATGCACCTGTTTTGTTTTTTCTGTAATTGGAAACTTGAATTTCTAAGAAAAAAAAAACTTCGTCCATGTAGGATGACAGCAAAAAAAAAGCGCTGAAAACATGGTGACTTCTTTTAAAGTATAAAAATGTTGTAGAATTACATAATTTACAATTTGAGACTTACGTATGTCATTGAAGGAAGGTGACTGGTATATTGAACAAAACGTACTAAATGACATTAAACATATGAACAAATGTTGTACACACAGATTGATGTTCAACATTTGCATATGTTTTATATAACCAGTTGTTTACATTTGCATAATGATGCCAGAAGCAACACGAGTGTTATCAACATCAGTTGCGGTAAGCTGATATGTAGCTCTTGCGCTCTCAAGGGTGATAGTCCCGAACACTGCTACATAAATCTACCAAAGCGTATGGCACTTAACTACACGACGTGAACTGGTCATGACGGCTGCATCGTAGGAGTGCATGTGTAATTTTTAGAAAATTCTCTAGTTAGCATTGCAACTACAAATGACCTTTCAAGCAACATTGTGGCTGAGTGGTGTCTATTTCCACAGCAGTGTCGAGACCTGGTGTGGCTCTTTGGTAGAATACTTGATTGCCACGCAGAATGTTTCATTTTCATTTCATGAGTGAATTAAACCGTTGTGAGCACACATTAACAGTATTTGTGCTATGAAGTGGTTTTTCTTCTAGTAAAAACAAGAAAGACGTGACCACGGCCCCCTTTATAGTGTTACTTTAGGTGACCCCCCCCCCCCCGCCCCCTAAAATGAGTGTCTGGATCCACCCCTGGCTTCACATACACCAAATTTGGTGTTACGTGACATCAATAGATGATGAAGGTATATGACTGGTGCAAACATTATAAACATGACATGCGTGTCATGTGAGAACATCATATACCACGCTCATGATGCAATCACAGCCGTTTCGCTAGCTTCACATATAACGAATTTGGTAATTATGCGACGTAAATGGACGATGAAGGTAAATTACATGTCCAAACATGATAATCATGATATGCATGTCATGTAAAACATCACTACATGCTACACTAATAGCTGGCGCGTGGCCGTTTTGCTAGCTCCACATATACCAAATCTGGTATCTCGTGGCGTGAATAGACGATGAAGGTGAATGACATGTCCAAACATAATAATCATAATATGGAAGAATGCTCGGTATAATTTACGTCCGTTTCGTAACATTCTTATTTTAAGCAACACTTCAAGCTTCCTCATTTGTGCTTCACATATAATCGATTCCCACTGTACGTAGGATCTGCCATTCTTTAAATTAACGGACTCATTAGCCTTTTTCTCATTTTCGGCATTCACACTTTAACGCCTTAGACCCTGGGTGAATTATCTGGAATTGCACAGGTGTGCCTGGAAGCCACCTAAAAAGTGGGTTCTAATAGGCCTGGCCTACCTTCGATGTGTCTTAATCCACTATTTGTTTACTATGCTTCCAAATTACAAGTGTACCTTCACTCTTGCCTTCTTGCTAAATGAGCTCTATTTCATACCTGCCAGCTTCATAATAGGATGTGATAGTAATGTGTGCCCTAAAATAAAGTGATATTCATACCCTGGTTTCCTTTTGGCTCCGTTGATGCCAGTGATGCATGCGTAGTCCTTGTGCAGCTCTAGCCATGTAGTACGAAACACACACACACACACACACACACACACACACACACACACACACACACACACACACTTTTTCAAGAAAGAGGTACATGTAGGAGGGAGTAGAGATTAACTGACAAATTGCTAAGGGGTTGTTAGGGTGGGGCTACCTCGCTGCACTAGCTGGGCTTCTGTCCAGCCTCTGCCACTTTTTAACTACAATTAAGTTTTTGCTAACTCGAGAATGAGCAGAGTTATGCGTTTGTGTTAGCATGGAGACATATAAAAGCAGCATGCAGAGATCAAAGTCAGAAGCAATATTGCATCTTTACCATTATCAACATAATTATTTATTTTAACGACGATAATCTTTCTTGGGGAACTTGGATGCAAAATTTCTGTCTGTCTGTCTGTCTGTCTGTGCACTTGTCTGTTTGTCCACTCTTAACGGCATCGGGTGCTCGAAACAGCAGACCCCAACCGCAGCGCCCACCAATGTTGCTCAAGGTTGAGCGTTCATGCTTGTGCAATTGTCAATTTAAAAGCAATTATTGCGCATGTCTGGGGCACCATAACAACACCTATATGTTCTGCATGTGCGTCTTTTACTAGAAAAGGCATACATAAGTAATTTTAAGGACCCTAGCGCTTATCACGCTGCGCTGACCATGCAAAGCTTGCACGGAACGGGGAGTGTTTCTAACGCTTTGCTAAGACGAGACGCTGGTGGCACCTACCCGTCGCCTTGCGTTCTACACCTTATCACCTCCGGGACGGGCGCGCAGGGCATGCGCGCTTCGCTTTTCAAGATAACTGCCAGATGGCGCTCATGTCTCACGTGTGACGTGGCTTGATGCGCTCGTTCGCCTCCGCTGCACGCTCGAGGCACTCTAAAGCAGAGCCTCCAGAATACCACTCACCGATTTTCTTGCGCAGAACATCAAAGAAATGTCTTGTTCACTCTCTCCACACGCAAGACTATCGTCTTTCGATGACATTTGCAGAAACATGCAGACACGGGGCCAATTTTTTGTGACTGATTTCTCCAGTCACTCTTCAGCATGTGGCTATGCCAGGCAATCCTATGATGCAAAATAGTGCCGAAATATTCTGTGTAAAAGTTGAGCTGTGTTTTCCGGGGCACATTTAGCTAGTGTGTAGGCTGCATTAGCATTGGACTGGATTAAGTTGTGCATTACTTGATGGGGAAGAAATTTAATAGCGCCATAAAAAAGGTGGGTGAAAATGAGAGACACAACATATGTGTCTTTTGCTTTCTCTAAATTATATATATATATATATATATATATATATATAATATATATATATATATATATATATATATATATATATATATATATATATATATATATATATATATATATATATATATATATATATATATATATATAGTTCACTAGCACGGTGGTGTTGTGCGCTTATTATTTTAATTATTGGGTATATATGATCTATATATCGTGTTAACATATATGTGTGTATCAGTTCGATTTATCAGACTACTCTTTTATTTCCACACAGAAATTATCAAGTTTTTTTTCGCGTATATGCGCTCGTTTTTTTTTATCCTCTTGCACATGTTACCTTTGGTGATCTAATTGATGCACTAAGGGTCAACACTGACATCTGTCTCGACGTTGTCATGTTAAAACTACCAATATCATTTCTTGCCATTCTTGGGTAGACGAACTGTCAATCACCTGTGCCACATAACCGCATATCTGCAATATGTGTGCCACACATCTGGAAGAAAAGATTCGACGACATATGCGATGAGATTTCGGCATTATTCATGACCTGGCGGGCAATCATATTCGTCAAACCATCTTACCCTCCCATACTGATTTGGTTTACCCAAAGCTAAGAGAGTGATCACGAGAGCAACCACTGCAGACGTAGGTGGCTAGATAGATAGATAGATAGATAGATAGATAGATAGATAGATAGATAGATAGATAGATAGATAGATAGATAGATAGATAGATAGATAGATAGATAGATAGATAGATAGATAGATAGATAGATAGATAGATACGCTCAAAGTCGCCGAAGTTCGCTAGAAATGCTTTGCATTTAATGCTATCAGCGCCATACGAACGGTCTGGAAATTACGCAGTTTTCAGCCTCATGATTAGATATAAATACGTTCATGCCAATCGCCACTCGCGCACGACATCCATGCTTGCGATCGCGCAATAATGCCAAAGCGTATGTGCGCCTCTGCCATTGGTCGTAGAGACCATATTATAGGCGAGTTTCTATTTTTTTGCTGGCGCTCCTATTGCACCGCTTCAATATATGACCACGAATTGGAGGTCAAGAGTGACTTTTACAGTGTTTTTACCATGCCTGTTAATGTCTATTTTGGGCACGTACTTGTGCTTAAATGCATTCAAATGTCTCTAAATACCCACATAGAAAGTACTACCAGATTTTTGTGATCAGCAAAAGTTATTAAATGACTTTGCCTTGAGAATCACCCACCAATTATGTGATTATTATTTGTGATTCACAAATATTTACTTTTTTTCATTCTTTACAGGACGTGAATTGCGTTCGGCTTCCATTTTTCATCGGTCAAGGAGTGTAAGGCAAACGGGCAACATTCATGCTGACCTCAAATACTGTCGGAGCAAGCGAAAGGCCGACCCTAGTCTACGTGCACTGATTTCTGCAAGTATACTTTGTAAGAGTGCTCTCCGCAAGCTTCATGGAATTGGCCGGCCTCGACGAATCTTGCACAATGCCATATCCCGATGCAGACTCGGCGAATGCCGAAGAATACGAGGCCCTGTACCTACAGTCAGTATACCGCTTAGACACCCTGGACCGTGCCTGCAACGAAATGCGTTTTTTGGTTCGTGACATGGAAATGACAGAGCAATGGCTACACGAGTTGCGCCACAAACATTCCAACCTCACCAAACAGATCAACATTGCCCAGATTGACCTCGACAAGGTCGACGAGAGGCAGCGAAAGTGCAATGTAGTTGTATTCGGACTTCCGGAGTCGGAACAGGATCCGGAATGGTGTGGTGAGCTTGTGCTTAAGCTCGTCAACAGCCACCTCAACTTTCCTCTTACATCGGATCAGATCGTGAGCGCGTACAGACTAAAATCTCCTTCAAACCCCAGGCCTATTTTGGTAAAGCTCAGTGGAGAACCGAAGAAGTGGGAAGTTCTCAATGCCAGTGGCAAGCTTAAGGGAACGGGAATCGGGATACGCGAGGATTTTTCCTATACTGTACGTCTGCAACGTCGACTCCTCGTAAAAAAAATGCACGAGGAGCGGCGCGCCGGCCGCAAGGCATGCCTTAATAGTAACACATTGAAAGTAGAGGGTCGCGTGTATGTGTGTGACAAGTTCTGCGAGAACCTGGTTGAGGTGTCAGACAATGGCGTGCGAATTGAAAGCGTTTCCAGAGACAATGCAGGCTTATCTTCGACGCTGAAGTTGGACGCACAGTGCCTTAGTAGCGGCTGGCTGGAGGAACACTCCAAGACCATATCGGACAAGATAAAGATTCTCAATGGTAATTGCAGTTGAGCTCATAGTGGTGGTCTGTCATCCTTATAAAATATTGGTGGTAGTTTATTTATTATGGTTACTGATATATGATCACGATACTAATAATGAGTATATTTTAAATAAATATAATATACACGAAAATATTCGAGGTAATTTGGTTATTGAATATTTTCGATCTGCTTTTTTGCGAATCTTTTTTCTTGTTTCAGCTTCTAAATATTCACACTATAAACTTTATGGGCATTGTCATGTCAGCACAGCTTACTTACAGTAAGCTGGAATCTACACGAACGCATTGGCACTAAACAACACAAAGCGCTCCTGCTCACGTGGTAGCTCGAAAACGTGCCCTCTGTCTTTATAAGTATTGCGGAATGGGCGTCTCCTTTCCAATCCTATTCGATTCCGCGGAATTAAAACTTGCCATAATTCCATTCCTTTCAATTCTTCGAAAAGACAAATCCTGGCCCATTGCCACCCCGGGAATAGCCATGCAATTCAATTCTAATAGTTCCTCAGCGTAGCAAATACATATTTATAGGTTTATTGAGTTAAGATTGAAGAGCCCATAAAGTGACAATTCACTCCTCAGTGCACTGCATTAACTACTTGGCAACGCCTCTCATACTGTCCATCTCACTAATGGCGAGCTATGTATATACACCATTTACCACTGGCTTACTGTCAGTGCACTTTAAGCAAAAATTCTTAAACAACGCATGTACTTTGTTTAAAAAAGCTATGCATGGTTTTCCTAAGCAATGCACTAGACGAACTGGACAACCAGACTTTTTCGAAAGAAAGAATTCTGCGCTACCGACAGGACTTCATGTCGCAGAAGAAGGCTGTAAAGGCGCTCCTGCGCTTCTTGCGTCCAACCGGCCCCTCCAAACGACTGTGATCGGACCGCCCTGCATGTGTGTGCATGTGTATGTTTTTTTCCTAACTTATTTTACCTCTTTCCATCTCTATTCTCTTTCTTACCCTTATTTCCCCACTCCTGTACAGGGTAGCAAACCAGTTCTTCTAGGTTAACCTCCCCGTCTCTACCTTTTATTTACTTCTCTCTCTCTCTCTTGACGTGTCCGATGGCTCGTGCAATGATGGGGTGGGTCCCCTGAAGCAAATACAGTTCAATGAAAGGGGCATTCCAAAGCGCCTCTGGCTCCACTTTCACTCTGAACCAACAGTAATAATTGCCGGCATAAAGCCCAGAACTATTCCGGATGTTGCTGGTCCTGTCGTGCCTGTGAAATGCGCACCACTACTATAAATAACTTTAAAAGGACAAACTCAACTCGCTGCCCCAGATGCGTTGTGGTCTTTTTTGAGCCGTGAAAACATCGCACAGCTTCATCGCCGAAACAGTTTACAGCTCACCAAGCAGGAACCTCGCGGGTTGACGTCATGAACTCGCTGAACAACTTCCATGTGGTGTGCCTACAGGGTGTGCCAGTGATAGTCACTGGAGAGTTGGACGTTAATGTAATTTGACGTGAGAATCAGAGGTTTGTCGCGTTTCTCGACGCCGAACTTGGAATTCGCTTTCAGTCGGACGTCACGCAGTCAACTATTCACAACACCATCTGTATAGACATTGTGGTTACTCCATTACTGCCGATTCAAGCACAATGAACCATGTTCACTACATTTCGTATGGTTTCTAAATCTCCAAGCATTACTTCGTATAACAGCTCAATATGTTGCTATCACAATCATTGCTTCTACCTTGAGCCGAAACTGTGACTTTTTATTGATGCGCCGAAGTACTCAATCGAAAAAATCTTCGATTTTTTTGTGATACAACTGTGAAATGTAGAACTTTGTGCAGCAATTTCCAGCGCACATCTACATGCATTTCTATGCGATAAAAATGAAAGTTGGAAAAGTTCACGTGTCAACCAATGAGCAAGACAAGTGTTACACGAAAACAGACCTACTAATAAGATAAAATATAAGCGAAAAAGTGCAACACTTCTAAAATAACAGTCGTACGAAGCGTGGAAGTGAAAGGTGGCTTTAGTCCACTGTAGTGAACAATCAATAAATCAATCGATCAATCGATCAATCAATCAATAAAGAGATCGCTCATTCACTTACCCAAAACAATCGGATGATTTTTGCACATAAGACAATAATAATGACAAGAAAAAGAATAACTGTCATAACAATCGTGAAGACGAAATAATTTTATTTAAAATCTGGCGAATGGAAGGCCCGGGCCTAAGGCCGCCTATAGATGACCGCTTGGAGCTGTTGCTCCCGCGCTGCCTTCAAAACTCGCTGGACGGCCCAAAATATGTCCGTGAGTTCTAAGCTTTGCAGCGCAGCCGACCACCGCGCCCGCAGATCTTCCGAAGAGACCACCATATGATCTTGGTATATTGAACATCCCCACAACATGTGTTTAAGGGTGGCTCTACCAGACTTGCAGATCTTGCATGTATAGCTCTCGTATATGACAGGGTAGAAAGCTTTTAATTGCATGGGGATTGTGGTAGATTTCTGTCTGTAATCGCCTACAAGCAATGGATTCTACTTTGTTGAGTTTAGCGTGAGGTGGCGGATAATTTCGCCTTAGCATTTGAAAGTATTTTGTTATATCACTAAGTGCGATTAATCGATCTTTTTCTCTCCATATATTCTCCTCCTTTTTCCCCTGACCGATAGAAGTCACTCTTTGCTCAGCTCGGCGAGTAAGACCTTGAGCCCCGCAGTGTGCTACCTCATAGGGGTTGACTGCGGGCATGTCTGGAGCTGTATGCGCTGGGAACCAGAGCAGTTGTCTGTACAGTGGAGAATATTGCTTTCTTTACACTCATAACGTGCCATGCCTCCGGGGAGATCCGGCACTCAGCGTAATTTTGAATGGCCGCCTGTGAATCACGCTTGTTCCTCCGCCTATAGAAAGCTAGAGTTTCTAAGACACAAACTAAAAAAACGCGCCATCACAAACAAAACTTGCTGCATACAGTAATTTATTCTACCCCGTCTAGAGTACGCATTCGTGGCCTGGAACCCATATTTCTAAAGAAAGGACATTCATAAACTTGAAATGGTCCATAGAATGGCGGTAAGATTCGTTTATAATGCCTATCACAATCTTGATTCACCTTCATCACTGATGGCTACAAACAACATTCCACTCTTAAAACAGCGTAAAGCTATCGCCAGACTCAAGTTTCGTTTCCTGCTTCGAAATCGTTAGTTTAATATTGATCCTCATGAATACTTCTCTTCGTCTTCTTCCGGGCAAACCAGACATAATCACAATCATGATCTGACACCATACTTCGCGATTACTAACTTGCTCAAACACTCCTTCTTTCCACGGGGTCATTAGCGAATCGAATACACTGCTTATATGTGCTTTTCCTAAACATAGCATTCCCGATTTCTAAATATATATACATGCATCGTTTTGCTTAGACAACATTGTTAATATACCATGCTATAAAACGTCATCTCATGATTTCAGTTGTGTTACTTTTGTGCTACAGAATGTTTCAAGCAATATATGTGTGCACTTTTTTACAGCAAAAGATGTTATGAGATCAAAGCTCTGGTCACACGCGGCGCCGTAGTTCTCTGCCACCGCTGCTTGAGTCCGTAACCACATTGCACGAAATAAAATAAAAGCTAGTACCAATGACACAGTGAGGCTCGAACCCGGGTTCGCTGAGGCAAGCCCGTAATCTACCACTGAGTCAAACCGCTTTTTTTCTTTCATGATATTTATTACAATGTGTGTTAAAATGAACATAAAATTACATAGCATAGAACATAGGTATACAATCACAGAGCGACAATAAGCGCTTTAGCGTTACTAAAGAAACACTCGACAATTAATGACGTTCAGTAGAGCCGCGAGAGTTTTTCAAATTGCTTTATACACAACAGGTGACAAGGCCAAGCACCTCACCAAGCACCTCACCATTTCATCATAAGTGTTTTTTTATGTGGACAGTCATTATACTGAAATGTGAGTGCGAAGAAATGGTGGGTTCTGCGTTGCGATCTTGCATACTCGTCTTCCATAGACTGTGTATACCCATGAGAAAAAAAAAACATATCAAAAGGCACTTCATCAAGTGATGTCGACAGAAGATAACGGATAGTATGATAATTATTATCCATATTTTTTTTCTCAGAGTCCGCTAAAGGACACCCCAGAACAAGAGAGCATCTTTGCAACTAACAAAACAGTGTTCTATTGTCTCTGGCACATCACACAGGCGGCAGTCAACACGGGAAACAAAAATACCCTTTATTTTTACCATGTTTTAACGGGCAACGTTTCAGTATGCAGTTTATAAAAGGATGATTTAGAATTTGGAGACACATACATGTTGCGCACTCGTTTCAAGACGTCATGACATGGCATATAGGAGTACAATGAACGGTACAACGGAGGCGGAAAAAGCATAGATAGTCAATCTTTGTCTAATACTTTACGAGACACTATGTACAAGTATTTTATAGAAAAGCGAGCTCTAAGGAACCTAACTGCAGAATAAGCTACCTGCATGAATCCCCACAAACACTGTTGTTTGGAAATGTTTGAAGAAATGACTAGGTCAGGGAAGCAATACACGAGAATAACCTGCAAGAATGTACGAATTACGGAATGGGAATTGTCACGGAAAAAGAAAAAGTGGGAAACTGTTTGCCATAGATATAGATGTATTAATCTTAACCCACCAGCACTAACTGGCCGGAAAATCTTGCCATGACGCTTGGGCTCAAAAGCAGAAGATCATAAGAAAGTTGCAAAAATTCGATGAAATTGTTGATTGATTGATTGATTTGTGGATTTTGACGTCCCAAAACCACCATATGATTATGAGAGACGCCGTAGTGGAGGACTCCGGAAATTTTGACCACCTGGGGTTCTTTAACGTGCACCCAAATCTGAGAACACGGGCCTACAACATTTCCGTCTCCATCGGAAATGCAGCCGCCGCAGCCGGGGTTTGAACCCGCGACCTGCGGGTCAGCAGCCGAGTACCTTAGCCACTAGACCACCGCGGCGGGGCGATGAAATTGTTGTACATAAAATTTTACACAATAAATAGGTTGCAATACGTAGTAGAGTTTTGTTGCTAAAATGTATTACAAGCTTCAGCTCACTCAAATGCTGATA